GGGGCGGGCAGGGGCTGCAGGCCTGAGGCTGGGGGCGTCGCGCGGCTCCCCTCCACCTGCCCCGGGGTCACCAGCACCCCATGCGGGAAAATCCATGTTCGGGGAGAGGCCCAGTGGGGAGCTCAGCAGGCGGCCAGCCCCCAGCCCCAGGGCCCGCGGGCCCCACGCCTGTCATTGCCATTGCGATGCCATCGCAGCCGGCGCCACCAGATGCCCAGGCAGGCGCAGACGGGGCGGGGAGCCCTGGGGCGCGCGGGGCGCCGCCCCCTGTGGAGACGCGGCCCAGCTCTCCCTGCGCCCTCCCCCAGGGGCCGGCAGCACAGGCGCAGAGGCAGGGCGCAGGGGTCCCCCTTGAGAGCTGCGTGGCTGAGGCATTTTTCTAGGTTCTTGTCGACTTTGTGTCATTAGCAAAAGTGTCGCGACACCTCCTGGCTTGAATGGAGGTGCTGCAGGGGGCGCCCACCTGTCCTGGGGTTGGGGGTGGGGGCTTGAGGCTGGTGGGGGCGACTGGGGTGGTGTTGGGGGCACGGGGGTGGGGGGGGGGGGGGGGGGGGGCGCTGAGCAGGGGCGGTCCTGAGCCTGGGTGCCCGGCCCCTTCTCAGAGCGCCCCCTCCTGCCCCCTCCTGCCCGCTCCTGCCGCCCCTCCCCGCCCGCCGCTGCCCACAGCCCGGCGCCAGCCCCAGCCGCCTCCTGCAGCCGGTGCCGCGGCCCCTGGCGTCCACGCCTGGCTGTCCCGCCCGCAGGCGCCGGCACCCACACCTTCCTCGGGGAGGGGCCTGCTGGGCGCCCCCTCTGCACCGGCTTGACTTGGGTGCCCGGCGAGTCCCGCCAGGGCCAGCACGGCTGGGCGCACGTGGCCCTTGGGCGCAGCTTCCCAGCCCTGACGGCGTTTCTCGCGGAGCCGCGGGCTGCGCTGTGTGTCTGGATGCTCTGACTCGCTCAGATCTGCAGCGCCTGTGCGGGGGCGCCTCCCCGCCCCAGGCCCCCACGCCGAGGCCGACGGCGGCCGCCCTCTCCCTCTCCCTCTCCCCGGCAGCGGCTGCGCCCCAGTCGGGTGTGCGCCCCCGCCACTGCTCCCCCGGGGTGGTGTCGGGGCGCCTGGCCGGGTGGGGGCGGACGCCTGTGCCTGCCCTGCCCGGTGAGGGCGGAGGCTGCTGGGGAGCTGGCTGGGGCCGGCAGGGATGGAGGGGCGCGAGGGAGCCGGGCACCCTGGGGGGGGGTCAGGGCGGCGCAGGCCGACCGCGCAGAACTGCCAGGCTGGGCCCACGCGCCACCTGCCTGGCGGGGGGAGCCCCACTCCCGGCCTGGTCCCGCGCAGCGGCGCCCACCCTGCCCCTCCAGGCACACCTCCCCGCCCCCCTCCCCAGCACCCCCTTCCCCCAGCCCGGCCCCTCGGCGCCTGCAGCGCCCCTTGCGGCCACCTGGGGGCACTGTGGGAGCGCGGCCTCTGCGCGGAAAGCGAGGACCCCTCGCCCCGCTGAGTGCGCTGGGGGAGCCTCGGCGCCCTCCCCGCGCCCCCCCTCCCCGTGTCGGGGCCCTGGGTCCCTCTGGCGCCCCCAGCGCCTCTGCTCTGTCGCCCAGGCCCTCTCGTCTGTCCCCGTACTGCGGAGCGGAGCGAGCAGGCCCCGGGGTGGGGGTGGGGGGTCGGGGACTGGGTCTGGGGGGACGGGCAGAGGGGGGGTCTTGAGCGCAGGCGGAGCTAGGGAGGGCCGCTGGGCGCGGGCAGGACGAGCGAGCCGGGCCCTTCGGGGAAACTGATGTCCGCCCCGGTGGCCCTCGGTGCGCGGAGGCTC